TCAAAGACGCCACCAAGGTACACCGCTGATGATAAATGACTCTACTACGCGAACGACCACCATCTCCTTGGCGACGCTCCCCGTCACCCATGCGTCGCCGACCTGCTACAGAAGGGGGAAACTGATCGCTGCAGCTCTGGAGGCAAGAGCTGCATTCAAGTCGAACTGTTCAAGGCCTCCGTCTCTTTCACCGCAAAACGTTGCCGACATCAATGGTGAGGGGACCGCTGCACAAGCGCTTATTGACACAGGGGCCGCTGTTTCTGTTTTTGCAAGACCCTATGCCGCAAGGTATAAAAGGTGACGGCATTGCTCTCGGGCCTAATACTATGCACGGCCAACTAGCAGTGTGTAGAACCTTCAGCTGTGTGCACTGCGTGTGTCACTATCCAAGGTGAACTTTATTTTTGTGCTGGCGTGATGCTCCCACGAAGTCCTTCTTGCATGGGACTTCCTTTCGCGTCATTGAGCCATCATAGATTGCTCCCATGTAGAAGTTGCCCTCACACAGCTGCCAACTTCTCGGTTGGGCGACTCCCTTTCCAAAGCTTACAAACTTGTTGCTGCAAACACGGACATATCACCGGAAACATCCACCCTTGTAGCCCTGACCTGTATGGCCGCTCTTGCCGGAACTGTTTTGTTTACTCTGTCTGACGTATTTCTCCGTCGTTGCGGCCTACACCTGCCTTTTGCTGTACTCACTGTGGAATCTGGTGCTGCCATTATGCTCATTGCGAACTCGCTATCGTCGCCAGCTACCTTACTTCGCGAAGAATGTTTGGGCAGCATAAAAGACATTGACCTCCTCCGCCCTCTGGAGTTTGCCGAAAACCAACGTCACCTTCAGCTTAATGCAATGATGCCACCCATGGCCACACTTTCGCGCAAGACTCATTCCACCGTTCTGTTGCCAATGAGCTATCGCCGATACAACGACGTGAGTTATTGTCTCTTCTTCGAAAGTTCCGCTCTTCCTTCCATTGCACTCAACCATTGTTGTGTTGCGCGGCAAACATCACACCTCAGATTGACAACGGTTCTCAAGCTACCTTAGGCCAATGACCATATCGAGTTTCGGTGGAAGAGCGGCGTATTATCAATAAACAAGTCGATGATATGCTCAAGCATGGTGTCATCCAGCCTTTGCAGAGTCCTTGGTCGTCCCCTGTTGTGCTTGTGCGCAAAAAGGAAGAGTCTATTCGTTTCTGTGTTGATTACCACCGGCTCTAAAGGTAACTTGGAAGGATGTGTACCCGTTGCCATGCATCGACAATGCTCTCAATTGCTTGCAAGGAGCAGAATATTTCTCCTCTTTGGATTTCGGCTCAGGTTATTGGCAAGTTCCAATGGCTGAGCCTAACCAATCAAAGACTGAATTCATCACACCTGATGGGTTATATGAGTTTAACGTAACGCTGTTCGGACTGTGTAACGCCGCAGCTACTTTCGAAGGAATAATGAACGCAATCCTTTGCGGCTACAAGTGGAACACATACCTTTGCTACCTTGACGACATCATAGTTTTTTCTCGCACTTTCTAATTCACCTTGTCCGTATTCATGATATTCTCACGTGTCTCACCTTTGCTAGCCTTCAACTTAACATCAAGAAGTGCCATTTTGTTACACGCCAGCTCACTATACTGGGTCACGTCGTCTGCAAGGAGGGTGTGTTCTCCCGGATACTGCGAAACTCCGCGCCGTGGTCAACTATCCGAAGCCCAACTCCATGAAGACGCTTCGAAGTTTTATTGGGCTGTGCTCATGCTTTTGTAGATTTGCGCACGACTTCGCTTTCATCCTTGTGCCTCTTACCAACCTGCTCACAACCCTCAAAAACACTTCTGTTTGGTCAAAGGAGTGCAACGAATACTTTAGCACGCTTCGGCGGTTATTATTATCGCCTCTAATACTAGGTCATTCTGACCCTGATGAACCTACGGAGATCCACATTGACACCAGAAGTGTCGGTTTTGGCACAATATTGGCTCAACAAGAACCAGGATACCAAGAATACATGGTAGCTTATGCAACTTCAATCCTGGAGAAAGCCAAGTGTAATTATTCCGTCATTGAGAAAGAGTGCCTCACAATTACATAGGCTTTAGCAAAGTTCCGCCCATACCTTTATGGCCGTTCTTTCGAAATCGTCACGAACCACCATGCTCTATGTTGGCTATCACCGCTCAAAGATATGTCGGGACACCTTGGTCGTTGGGCGCTTCGCCTACAGGAATACGGAATTCGTGTAGTATACCGACCTGGCCGCAAGCACCGCGACGCTGATGTGCTATCCTGCTTACCGCTACCGACTAACCCAACCTCTTCATCACCTTCTTCAGCTCTCAAGACACCAATTGACTTCACAGACATGGCATCAGAGCGAAGCAAAGATGCATGAATTTTCCAACTCCTCAACTTTCTGACTGATCCGTTGGCTCATCCGGTCTAAAAAATATCCGCTGTCAAGCCACGCATTTCACTATTCGTGACGACCTTCTTTATCAATGGAATTAAACGTCTGAACGCCGACGGTGGCTGCTAGTGATACCCAACCACATGCGCTCGGAAATCTGTACTGCTTTCCACAACCACCCGCAAAACGCTCACGCTGGCACTCTCAAAACGTACAATAGTCTGCGTCAGCGGTACTATCGGCACGGCACGTACACATTTGTTTGCAAGTACATACGCGCTTGTACTGCATGCCAGCGACGTAAAGCTCCACCTCAACGTCTGGCTGCTACACTTCAGCCTCTGTTTTGTCCAGCGCATCCATTTGACCACGTCGGTATCGACTTATACGAACCACTTCCCTCGTCCTCTTTCGGAAATAGGTGAATAATTGTCGACGTGGACCATCTCACGCATTACGTGGGGACGGGAGCACTACCCGCAGCAACCGCCAGAAAAGTTGCAGTTTTTAGCTTGTGCAACTTTGTTCTTCGCCATGGTGCGTCCTGCGAACTCTTGAGCGACAGGGGGTGTGTTTTTCTGTCTGATGCTATTCAAATCTTGCAAGAAATTGGTAAACTATTTATGCTTTTACTGAAAAGAAACAGCCAAAAATGATAAAAATTTAAAAGGTTATTCTTAATCCCAAAGATTTTAAGATTTGAACAGTTCTGGCAGAAAATTTTCACACTTCTGTAAAAAAATTGAGCCAAGCCTTGGCACATATTGTCACGGTTATTAGCCGTAAGCTCAAAAGGAGGAAGAAGCCAGCATCACGAGCGGCAGTCTTTGGCGTTTTTCGAGGAAGACGACGTTGCGCGTCTGCTCTTGCGCTTTGTTTTCGTGTGCGAATAGAGCCTTGCTGTTAACGTCGAAAGGAAGCCTTGTGTCCTGTTCTTTGCACGTTGCGACACTGGTGGAGGTGCTGGACTTCTATGACTGATGCTCGCGATTCCTCCGTGGCTCGGCACTTCAAGTCCGACACCGCAACCCGTTCCTTCAGTGGATATTCCTGTCCACCGCTACAGTCGCCGACAGCGAGGCCTTAGTCCTGAGGCGATTCCCCTGGAACTTTCCAAGCAAAGCACACCGCCTGGAGAAATGGCAACTGCAGGTGCTTCCCAGCTGACTTTTGAGCAGCCTCAGATTCCGGAGACATTCCATGGTGAGGTGTATGAAGACGTTGAAGACTGGTTAGCACAGTATGAGCGAGTCGCTAAGGCAAACCGCTGGACCACCGAGCTAAAGCTTTCACGCGCCTACTTTGCTTTAGCAGATAGCGCTCGTACGTGGTATGAGAACCACGAGGCAATGCTGTCTTCATGGGATGAATTTCGGCAGCAGATTCTCAGCACCTTCGCAAACAACGACCGCTGTGACTTTGCTCAGAAACTCATCAAGTCTCGAGTCCAGAAACCGAATGAGAGTGTTGCCATATTTGCGAAGGACATGAGGGGCCTATTTGGACGGGCTGACCCTGATATGCCTGAAGCCAAGAAACTCCGCCATTTGATGCGAGGCGTCCAAGAACAGCTGTTCGCTGGCCTTCTCCGCAATTCACCGATGACCGTTGCAGAATTCATCAAAGAGGCTACAGCTATCAAGCGCGCACTGCAGCAACAGTGTCGCTATTACGACCGACCAAATGGTGCCTCAATCAGCGTCTCTGCGCTGACGACTGACAGTGACGGTTCTCTGCGTGAGCTTATTCGCGAGGTTGTTTGTGAGGAGATCCGCAGCTTCCTTGTGACTACGCAAGAACGGGCAATGGCTTCAATTGGAGAAGTTGTGCGGCAGGAAAACAGGCAATCATTTTTGCAGCCCGAATCGCTACCAGCCCAGCGATCTATTAACTATGCGGCAGCCACCCGCCGTTCGTCACCAGTGCCGTACAACTCGTCTGCATTGGCTCATTCTTACAACGCGCCAGCGGCACCAGTCTACAACCCACCGCCGCCGCCACCAACGACGACACCTCCGCAATATAACACACCTACTGACACTCCGTTCTACTCGCTGTTCTACCCTCTGCCGACACCTGCAACTTGGCCGCTGAGGGTGCCTACCAGTCGACCATTCGTTCGCAAGACGGATCTGTGGCGCACCGTCGACCGCCGTCCACTGTGCTTCAATTGCGGAGAAGCTGGACATGTTTACCGCATCTATCCATATCGTGAAGAAAGATACCTGACTTATGCGCTGACTTTTTCACGACCTCATTTCTACACCCGACGTGACAGTGCGCACCCGCAAGGACAGCCATCCGCTCTGTATTGTCGATCCCGTTCTCTGTCACCTTCGGCGATTCGTCGTAGTTACGCCGATGCTGTCTGGGACAGGCCCCCAAGCCCTCATTGGGGAAACTAACAGCTGCGACCTTTAGAGGGAAGGTTGCCACTCGTCGAGATGCTAGCTTCTTCCTCCTTTTGAGCTTATGGCTAATAACCGTGAGAATATATTCTCGAAAGTGCATTCTTAGCCTTCACTCAAGATCAACCAACCAGTTTAAGACCTTTCAGTGCACATAAGAGTGAAGTTACTCACAAGAACAAGTAGGTGGGATTCTCCTGATGATGTCTGGCAGACTCCGAGAATGCCTTTGGAAGATGCGTCACAGTCGCCACCTATTTGAAAGTCAATGAAAAGCAGTCAGCGAAAAGCCAGTAGCTATAGATGGATTTAAAACGGAGCTTTAAGAAGGCATGCGAGGCACGATTTGGAAAAACAAACAAATAAAAAACAGCTTTTTGAAATATGAGTTGTTTCGGGCTGCTGGTTAACTAAAAAATAAGCTTCAAATCTGCACAGCAGAAGAGACAGCAGAATAGAATAAGACTAATTCTTTTCACGAGACGGTTACGCGCACTGGCTGTGAAAAGCATCTCTGAAATGCCCTATTCAAGATATAATAAAATGATATTGCTTTAGCGCGGCTCAGTTTGAGCGTGAAGGAAAGATACTACGCAGTTCTTGACTGCGTAGTATTTTTTCTTCATGCTCAAACTGAGCCGCGCTAAAACAATATCATTTTATCATGCACCAACTCGCCCAGTCAGCAGTATTTGTCATGATACGACTCAAGATATGACTGAAAAGCGAGCAAGATGTCGATCTCGATATGAATAGCTGCGTTAGAGAATTTGTATATCGTCCCAGGCCTATTGGTCACAAACGACTTCTGGTGAAGGCACACAAGAAGACAAGATAATATCCTGGCGCTCTTTGGCCATGAAGTGGCCCTTGCGCCACAAAACCTCAAACATCATCAAGACAAGATAATAAGTCAAAACAGTGCAGCAGTGGTGATGACAGAGTTACTTGAATACTGGAACTGAAAGTCAAATTGACCAGAACGTATGATGCGACCATCCACCTCTACTCTCGCAACAGTTATGAGCTGCTCCTGCTGTGTTTGTGAGAGCGTGCTACTCAACTTTTGTGCTCGTTTCCCTGGAGTTCATTGCAATCAGAGTGTGGTTCATTTTGTGACCAACACGTATTGTGAGCAACATTCACAGCTCAACAGCTGCAAAAAGTTGAAGATGGCTGCATGAAATTGTCACAGAACAGCATGATGCTGATGACGAAGGCAGCGTATTTGTGCAGCAGATCACTTTGACACTGTTTTATTACCGAAATAAATAGAATGTTGACATTTACATACCTGCCAGGTTCAAGGATTCTGAATCCGGGAGATTTCCGCAGTGGGGGGGGGGGGGGCTGAATTATTTGCTTCTATTTTTTTTCAACGCAAAAAAACCAAGAACAAACAAACGAAAAACATCGCAAAAAATAAGAGGGGGTGTGGGTGGGGGGGTCTCAATCACAAGCACAAACATCAGCGTTGCGGTCGGCTTAGAGTGGCCGAACACACGAAGGTAGTGTTTCCCGCTAAGGTGAGAGTCTCAAAGAATCAACACAACTAGCAGAATTTATTTCCTTCAAAACAGCTCGTGTATGTCTTACTGAGACACATGCGAACGGATGGGACGGCGCAGCTGACTGCTGCAAAAGCGCGGGTCAAAGCTTTGCTTCCTACTAGATATTTTTGACAGGAACGCCAAAACGAGTCTGCCCCTTCGTTATTGACTGTCTAGGCCGTTTTTTTCCCATCGCTGCCACTGCCGTCATTTACTATATATGCATACTTATCTCTATATATTATCACTCTAGAAAGAAAAAAAAAAGACACCCGCGCTCAGTACCCAGCGCCTTGCAGTGCGCCGACGCGCGCTCGTCTCTGACACGTACTTTGCTCTGCGGATAAGGGGAGGGGGGGTTGATGCTTATGCGCACGTGCTTATCTTTCGGTGGGGATAATCGTGTGCCTTTGGCTTTCACTGGAAGAGTCGCGAAAGTGGCCGGGGCCCACAAAGGTATGTTCTGTCTATGCACAAGCCCTGTTTGCGAAAAGAGCGCACTTTTCATACACAGCAAGGTATAACTGCGGTACTTGTTAGTTCGTACTCACCGGTATTTCTGATTATGTATGGAGCCTCGCTTTTTTTTGTTTAAACAGCGCGTTACATGTCGAGCGGTAAACTTTGTTAGTTCGGTTTCGTCTTGTGTGTATTGTTTTCGTGCATCATTTGTGTGTGAGCAGCGCGCTGCACGTTTCGATCTGCTTGCCGTTCTCAGAGTGACATTCCAAGTTGTTGCAGTCGCATTTATTGCTTTGCCCTTGCGGTGAAACTAACTTTTTTTTTTTTTACGTATTTACTGCCTCTAGTTTACAGCTGCGTGCCCTCAAAGCTCAAAGATCGCTACCGCGCCGCCGCAACCGCGATGTTGTGCATGGTGGTTGCGGCAAATGATAGTTCCTTTTCCGATCCCCGTGCGCTTTACTGCATACATGCCTTCAAAACAAAGTCGTTTTATGCCGTCTACGATCGCACCTCCAGCAGTTTTGTCCGCAGGATTCGCGGAAAGCAGCGTTGCTTTGACTGGTTGAGTGTTGGACGCACGGACACTTTCATGACTTTCAGGACAGTTACGTCATTGCCATACATGATCGCGTCAAAAGCGACCACGGTTTCTTCGACAGCGGTTGTGGCAACCACAATCACGCACACTGTAAAAGACAGTGCGTGCGCCGGTCGCACGCGTGCTTCGGAAGCTTCGAGTACATTGCTCTGTGCCTTCGTTCGACGATTTCCATACTAAAGTTCGTATCACCCGTCGCGATTAGGAAATGTGTTCGAACATTGGAATCTTGGCCCAATAGACTTAGTAGATGTTATGGTTAAGGACGTTCGTAAGTATGCTTGTCGATAGCGGACGAGAAAGGATTAACATGACCAATTTATTTGATGGCACGGGTGGAACGGCTGACGGCGCATGGAAACGCTACCGTGTGCAGCGCCGTTGAGTCGGACGTCGCGGCCAACCCAGCAGTCAGGGTCGCAACTCCGGAGGTCCAGGATCAGGCCACGGCTCACGAGGACCACACCCGGTAGGTCTCGCCTACGAACCTGCTCCTGGCCACTGCACCCAGGCAGGAGCCGTTCTGCAGGCCCCGTCCTTGGACCTTGTACAGGCCGACGGACTCGACCTCGAACAGACACACCGGCGTTCGACTGGCCGACACGTACGGGTCCCACGTCCGGCTCAAGAACGCCGCCAGGAACTCGTCCTCTCGAGCGGCGCACCGCTTCGTCTACCTTCGTGGCCTCAACCCTCGAGCTCTTTTTCCCACATTCTTTCTTCTTGGCCAGGGCACCGCCAGGTACCCTCGGGTGCACACTGCAGCTCATGAGCTTGCGGCCCACGTCCAAGTCTGGCGCGTCGCTCGGTACGGCTCGGCACCGCTCGGCGATCCTTGATTCAGCCAGAACTCCCCTGGCACCTGGATCCTCGGCCACCCTGAACCTCGCCCGGCTCCGTGGTCCTCCGTACACACGCCCACGTCTCGCCCGGCAGAACGTCTTGCTCATCCCTTGCCGATGTGCGACGCTCTGGAGACACCGGCGCTTGATGGCATGGGTGCGGCTACGGAGCAGTCAACCCGCATCGGAGACGCGATGCTCCATGCGGGGAATGGCCAGCCCGTCCAGCGAACAGCTTGCGTCGAGACGCGATGCTCGGCGCAACCGTGACCATTAGCCAGGCCACGTTCAACGCTGTGCCGAATGGCTGACCGTGGAGACACCTCGCCGAGATCCGCGATGCCCTCGGCAAGGAAGAGAACAGCAGGCCAGGCCGCGCCCCGAGATGTAGTACTCGTGCTGGTAATGCCGCCCCAGCTGGTGGTTGGACGGCAGCAGCGTGGACGGCCGCGTTCCCTGGCCAGAACCTGGATCGCCTGCGTCCGACGCTTCGGCCCGCTGTCTTCCGTCTGCCGCTGCTCCGGCTCGTCCCCAGCCACAAAGCTTACCGCCACGTAATGATCACACGTGCCCAATCGTGGCACGCCACCTCTATGGGCCACCACAGGTCATCAGCTGATTCGCTGACACTCACGCGCACATTACACGCGCCTTGCCCCGCACTTCCGTCGTTGTCATTTTCTTCACTCATCACAGTGGACTTTCGCTGATGAATTTCACAAATTCGTATCCGCCGCGGTTTCGCATCACTGTACGTTTAGGTGAATGCCTCTTACTCATAATAAAATGGGGTAGATTCGAAAAACCTGGAGCGGATGGAGCTGCTTTTTTGTCAAGGCGGCAGGATCACGCACAAAAATTTCGATTGCCAGGAGATTTTCATGACAACCGTACAAACGGTAAGAGACGGTCCTAGTCCGAGAGTCTCCGGCCAATCCGGGAGACTTGGCAAATATGCATTTAGCTTAATTTTTCCTTCCAGTTTGCATTTCTGGGGGGAACGAGCCTTTTCAGAAATAGTTTGCAGCACAAGCACGGAAGTGCTCAAGGAAAGACATAACAGCAAAAAAGGGAAAACACAGAGGGGTGGTATGAACGCTGACTATACCAACTGATCTACAATTAAGTTCTGCGGAAACCTGCAAGGTGACAAAAGGGTTAAGAAAGGTAAAGAAGACAAACACTTGTTTGTAGCATGAAGCCAAAAGAGTACAAATTTCTCAGAAAGAAAAGCTTCCTAGTTGCAGAAAAATTCGTCCTGGTCCAGGGTTTGAGCCAGGGACCAAAAAAGTGTGTGTTCAAGGCTAGGCATTGATTACCAGAGGCTGACTCATACCTTCATCATTGAATTTTCCAATATATTACGCCTCAACGATTTTCCATGTCAGTTTATCTTTATGGCATTCCAACACACTTCCAGCCTGACGTTCAGGCTGGCAGCCACAACTTTCAAAGTGTATCACAAGGTTGGAACATATACCTTCGCAGAAGTCATTCACTCTTTTAACGTCTTCTTCATACATTGTCTAGTTTGTCCCATGTAACTGTGCCCACACTACAAAGAAAGCCTGTACACAACGCTCACAGAGCATTTTACAAATTTCATAGTGAGGGTGTACAGGCTTCGGTTATTGTGCAGGTGCTGTTATATAAAACAAACTGTACATTGTACAAATGATGGTAGTACTGCTATACTTGATGTCTTTTATCCACACTTGCTGTCCGAAGTTCAGTATCAGTAAATGGCGGACACCACAGTGGTGATTGTAATTATTTTCCTGGCACCACTTGATTTCTTG